CGTCACCTTCTTCCTTCCTCTCGGTCTTTCTCACTTCACCCCACTTCTGCCTCAGGGTGTTGGGATCAGAGTGGTAAGAAAGTAGGGCAGATCTCAAAGTCTCCTTTTGACTTTACACTGACCACATATGATATATAAATATTTCGTGATAACTTCTAATTTACAGACTTGTAGAATCTTACTGTGCAAGGGACCTGAAACCTCAGGAAACCTCATCCAGTTTCCAGTTCAAAGCATGAATCCCACCGTGGTACTGACAGTCTAGACTGGTCCACATATTGCCCGGCCATGGCTATCAAGGGGTGCCTAAAGTCTTTTATTTGTTCTCAGACTCATTCTCAAGTCCCTTGGGCTGAAGATAGCCAGGAGTAAAGATGGGGTTGCTGCTGGGTCGGGGTTGCTGCTGGGTCTGGCTTGCATGTCTGGAAAGCCAGTTTTTCCTTTGGACTTACTTGGGGAGGCAACTCCCAGATCAGTCTGGGAGCCTCCCAGGGTGTAAATAACTTAACCTCAGGACTCTGGAACATCCTTTGGATCATTTTGTATCCTACAGGTCCTAGTAACTAGATGGATCTAGATCTGGAAAAGGGTTTGATTCATAGCCATAATCCATCCCTCTCTACATTTCTTAGACCTGGCACTGGCCTTGTATTCAGAATGCAATGGATGTTGGACATTGGATGTTGGCCAGTGAGGAGGTTATGGCAACTTAGGTAGAAGCAAATCTGGGAATTTTAGAACTTCTTAAAAATCATCTGGCTTATTAGTCCCTTTATTTTGCAGATGAGGAAACTGAAGCCCAGAGTGAGAATTACATCATCTTTGATTTAGAAGGCATTGTAGAAGTCATCCAGTCTGACCTCTCAACATCAGCATCTTACAATCTGGGAATGTCTCCCCCCAACATTCTTGATAGCTGTTCATCCAGGGGATTGTACTGGGAACTCATAACCTCTGAAGAAAACCCATTCTAATATAGGACAGCTCTCACTAAAAGGAACTAATAACTAAATTGAAGTCTATCTCTGTGTAACTTTTATCTTCTCAGTGGTTCTCATTCCTTTCCTGTGTAACATCTCCCAGGGTACAAGACCTCAAATCCCCAAATTATCAGATAGCACTATAGCATATAGTTTCCCTAATCAAAGTAAAATATAACTGAAAAAGAACTTGATTGATTCTATGAAGAGAGGTCATTCACTCTTCTGTGGATCCAAAACTTCTTTTTCCAGCTGAGAACCACTACTTTCTTAGATTTCTTCACTTCCTCTTCTGTCACTGGCACTAGTGTTTGTTTACCTCTTCTCGTGATACTTTTAATAAACATATGTTTTATCACTCTGTGAACATAGCTGTACCCCGGAGTATCAGTGGAAAGCCGCAAGTAGGACTTGAAGGGATGGACTCACCCCTGCAACCTGTCTGGCTTCTCAGTTCATATTTGCTAGCTGTAGTGGGCCTCTCCATTCCTATTGTCTTTTTCTTAGCCTGTGAAGAGTCCCAATTGATCTGTTTACCTCCAGCCTTCTCCTGCCCAAATATAACATCTTTGCTTCTGTTAGAATGATTTGTCTAAAATGCAAATTTGACCATGTCACTTCCTTAATTCAGTGGTTTCTAAACACCCAGTACTCCACAAATTTTCCACTAAATGACTACTGATGATAGAGGAGCCTTTCTCAACTGGATTTCCATGAGAGAATTAAGCCCTAATGCCATTAGGCATCCATTGTATGTAATGTATTAACTTTTTCTCCAATGCATCTGGAATGGTGCTAGTTATGTACAGTCTTGGGGAGAATTGAGAAAATAGTCACTCTAATCATTTTCTTTGTTCTGTGAATCAGATGAGGAACTCAGTGTGAAAGAGTGGAGAGAGAATGTATGTTCTTCAGGAGATCCAGAAGCCTGGCTAGGAGCAACCTCCAGGGGAAAAAAAAACAAAAAAAAACCCCACTAAATGTCATAAAAGCTTAGGGTTTCATCTTTAAATTTGTGTGAATATTGCATTCTGCCGCATAATATGTCCATAGTTAAAAGTGTTTAAAAATATTTATCAATGAATAAAATTAATTTTATAGGAAGATTTTCCTAGGGTCCATGGAACTACAAATATTTTTCTCTTAGCCCTGTAGTGGACGTTTTATATATGTTAAATTATTTAATATCTCTAGGAAAATTGCCCAAGATCATATAGCTAGTAAGGTGTCAGAGTCCGGGTACTAACCCAAGTATGTTTCAACTCCACAACTTGAAGCTGAGTTGAGTCAAGAGCCTTGGAAGTCTTTGCCCATTTCTAAGTTTATCTTCACTGGAATGTAGGCTTTTTTTGTCTTGGTCAAGTTACTGTTGTGTTTCAGATCATGCATAATTCTGTACTTCTTATGCTGAATATAACTAACTTTGATTATCCAAAAGGAAAATGAACAGTGAATCAGGTAATTCCATATAACAGGCAATCTTGTCTCTCTTTGGTGGTTCTGAAACATATTAAATGGCTTTTTAAATTTTTTAAAAGATTTTATTTACTTACTAGAGAGAGCACGAGTAGGTAGGGTGAGGGGCAGAGGGAGAAGCAAACTCCCTGCTGAGCAGGGAGCCCTTAGGCTCAATCCCAGGACTTTGGGGATCATGACCTGAGCTGAAGGCAGACGCTTAATTGACTGAGCCACGCAGGCGCCCCTAAATGGCTTTGTTTAGTAGCAGATTTACTTCTCTAATTGTTTTGTCTTGATATTTACATATTGTCATTTCTTGATGACTCTCTAGATGGTTGTGGCAACTAGCTTTTTTGGTAAGAGGAAACCATCTTGCTATTAAAAACTTGGTTCCCCACCCATATGACAAAAAGTTGACTCCATTTGTGTCTGCTTACTCAAGGCCCTTGGGAAAGCATAAATGCTAAAGTACCAAGGTGTTAGAAGCATCCCTGCCCTGGCCCCCAGTTCTACCTGTACCTGGCCATCTGGAATCCGGTTTCCATTAGGTGTCCAGAGAGAACGTCTGGAATGTCTTGTCAGTGGTCACATTCAACACAGAATTTCAAGGGGATCTGGCTTCTTTAGCTCCTCTGAGAAGCCGGAACAAATACTGAAATGATTGCTAATAGAGGAGCTACAGTGACTGTTTTCAGTCATCTCTGGCTGCACCATTGAATTGCTGGTTCTTCCAGAAAGCTTGAAATTTGAGAGCCTGAGAGCATCCAGAGGATGGTGTACAGAGCCCTGTGAGGTTCTTTAATTTGTAACCTCCTGCCTCCTTTCTTGTTATAAACTCTTCACCAGTGAGTTACTAATGATTGCTGCGTCTTAGTACCTGATAACCCTCTACATCATGTAAAGAGGAGTTTGACTGGAAGGAAAGTCCGGAGTTTGGATTAGAAAACCTGTTGAGTCAAAGGGAAACTTAGCAGAGGAACGGAATGAAAATTATTTCCTTAGACAGTAGACAAATATTCAGGAAACACCTCTGCACCCCAAAGATAGGCACAGCTGCCACACAGTGACTATTAAAGGGAGGTTCAAAGTTATGAGCAAACAGCTGATTCTCTTGGTTCTTGGGCTGTTGCTGTTGGTGACAGGAAATCTTGTTCCCCAAGCTGTTGGCTTCCTGTTTTATTTTTACTCTTAGTAGATCAGAATGTCCATAACAAGGAGCAGTCTGTTCCAAAGGGTTCTCCCCCTTTGAGCCTGAAGAGCTTTTTTTTTTTCTTTTGGTCAGACAATATGTTGGTTCACTTTTAAGATCTATGATACTTAGCTTGGTTTAAGCATTTTGTATTCACAGTCAACTTTTTTTGGTGATGAGCTGGTGTTTTAAGATTTAATGTAAGTAAACCTCTGCTTTGCTTTAAAAAATACATATATATAGAGAGAGGAGTGTGCAGTATTGGGGATGTGAGTATGTTACCTTTATGCTTTATCTTTTCATTTGAAGTGAATTTGCATTTTCCCTAGCATGAAAACCATTAGGCTGTTGGAAATTTCTTTAGTTCACGGGATACAGAAACAGGACCAGCCCAGTGTGCCTTCGGCTGTAGTCCTACCCATTTTGTTGAGACTAAAACCTCCTCCTATCCTTGTAAAGCTAGGAATTTGGTAATCTAATTCTAAAACAATAGCTCAGCATGAACCTGAAGTGGTGGGGGATTTCCTAGGGAAAGGGGCTCAGCTGACAGGATAAGAAATGGTAACTGGAAGGTTTCCGGATCTGCTCCAGACACTTCCTGCTGTCTCAAGAGCCTTTTGGCCCAGGTGTGTTGAACCGGATGCGAGAGAGAAAGGGAGCTGTTGGGTAGAAGAGAAAGGACTAGGGAATCTTACGGCACAGTTTGCTCAGCATCGTGTTTGACATATTGAACATGTAAAATTTTCCTTGATATTCTTTAATTCTGTCAATTTACAGACGAAACTTTAGTGTTAATAGACACTGGCAGCTAGTGTTTAGTTGTACATTAACAGTCATCCATCAGGGAAGAACTGGAGAAGTTATGTCGTGATGTAGATCAGTGGAATCACTATTGGCAGCTTAATTTCATTGTGGAGATTATCGGATGACAGTAGCTCTTTTTTGATCCTTATAATTGATCATCTGGAATCTGATCTGTCCTGATTATGGACACACCAAGGATAGGATCCATCCAGACCATCCAGAGCCTGCTGAATGGACTGTTTTCTGACCATGCCTCCTTGCCTCTAGAGACTCTTGTTGGTTGGAGCACAGTTGTTATTTTAAGGTTTTTAGGTTTTTATGCTGCCTGTGTAAGTCAGCCAGCAGTCACCAGTTCAGAATTTCTAAACTTATCCAGCAAACCTTCTAATAGCAAACCTTAAAGATTGTGGAGGGGGGGGCTTAAAAAAGAAAAAAATGATGGGGGAGAGAAGATTTTTTAAAAGCTGTTTTAGATCAGAGCAAGACAAAAGGGAAAAAAAAGACTCACACAGCCCTAGTGTGCCTGGAATTTGTGGTTGAGTAATACTTTCCTGTTATTTCTTTTTTAGGTTGTTTTTCATCATTCAGAACATTGCCTGAAGCAGGTCCACCATGCCGTTAGTAACGAGGAACATCGAGCCAAGGCACCTGTGCCGTCAGACGTTGCCTAGCGTTAGAAGCGAGCTGGAATGCGTGACCAACATCACCCTGGCAAATGTCATCCGACAGCTGGGCAGCCTGAGTGAGTGCCGCAGAGAGCCTGTGCTTTGCCCTCAGGGGTCGTTGGTGCTCTTTATTTAGTTTCCTTCTCCTCCTGTGTTCCTATTTCTCCCCCATCCGCCTTCCCTAGGTAATGTGAAAATGTAAACCACCCCCCCTTCCCGAAAGAGAGGTTCCTTTTTGGTACAGATTCTTCCCCTCAACCCTTTCTTCATCTACCACTACCCTCTAGGTTCCCTCCACCTCCCCCTCCACCTGCTTCAAAAGAAATCTGTGGGAAGGGTAGCAGGAAGGGCTGCAGCAGAAACTGCAGATGGAATGACAGAGCAGAATTCTCTGTGTGTAAAGTGGGAGGTTCACAGAGCAGTATCTTGGGTTGGGGAATGTGCCTGTAATTGCACGAGCTGTTCAATGTAGCTGACTTTGTTGAAGCCTCAAATGTGCCAATAGTCTTTATCTACCCCCTCCCCCCAACTTTTCTTCCCAAAGAGGAGTAAAGCAAACATGCACTCAGAGCGATTCTAGCTGACTTGTCTACCCTGGTAGACATTTAATTGTGCTGCAAGCCCCCAGGTCCAAGTTCAGGGTACAAATTACTTTTGCAGTCTCTAGGGTATTGGGAGTTTTGCAAGCTGCGTTTACACACAATGACACAAAGTGTAGCCATTCTTCTCTAGGAGGAAGATGGGGGTTACCCCCTCTGTTTTGGAGCTGAGGGAAAGCCAGCTCAACGATATTTGTTTTTGTTTTTTTAATTGGCAAGAATGAATGAGACTGCCTTGGGTGGGGTATATGCATGGGTTTGGATTTCCCTCTGAATCTATCTGATTTTGTTTGAAGCTGAGGTATGGGAAGGGCAGATGCTTGGATAGGTTCTGCATTTGTCTACTGCCATTCCAGCTCCCGTAAGAACGTCCATCAAGTTGCCATTTTAGTGATCTTTCTTAGCAAAGGCATCTTGGTATGAATTAATTCAGACACTCACCCCTCCTACCACATCACTGCCCTTATAAGGTGAAGGCAGTGGGATATCAGGAAAGCCTGCCTTCCCCCAGGTAGTAACAGGCTCTACCTTTAAAAGAGGGCCCTGAGGAGACAGAGCTCTGTGACCAAATGACGTATGGGGTCTGCGATTCCTAAGCCTCTACCTAGCTCGGTTGATCCAGGGCTTAGGGAAACTTGGACGGGGTGTCACGAAGAAACGAAACGCTGCCAGTGCTGGTCTTACACAAAGGAGCACTGACAGCAGTGCAGCTGACAGGGAAGCACGTGAAGGCGGTGGAGAGCCTCACCGCTTCTTAAAAGCATCGTTTCTGCTTCTGTCACCCTGAGAAGGCCAAATGGGTAGAAGTCAATCACACACTGGTTCCTTCTCCATAGGACAAAGGACATCTAGCTAATAATGCTTCTTACTCTCACTCAGCAGGAGTTAGGCTCTCTCTCAGGTGTTTTTCCAGGGTGGTGTTGATGGATGTCATTGCTCACTCTCCCACTTGTGATCAGACCACTCCTTTCTAGAGGAAGCCAATCTGAGGGCCAGGGTTGGTTTGTGCCAATGGAAATAAGATTTCTTCAGTTGTGGAGCTAACTGACCCTTTATTCATCCAATAAACATGTATTGAACATGTTTTATGTGCCAGATGCTGAGGGAATACAGCGATAATAAGAAATGGTCTTCGCCTTCCAGGAGCTCATAATCTACCAGAGGAGACAGAAATAAATAATTCTTAAGGGGAGAGGGTGAGAGGGGGACTCACATTTGTTGATTGCCTACTTTACACCAGGTTTTAATAGGATCTTGTCATAGATGATCTCATTTATTCCCCTTGATGATCCTTTGAGGGTAGGTGGTGGTATTCCCATTTTTCAGGTAAAGAAATGAAGACTCAGAAAAGTAAGGTAAGGGCACCTGGGTGGCTCAGTTGGTTAAGCGACTGCCTTCGGCTCAGGTCATGATCCTGGAGTCCCGGGATCGAGTCCCGCATCGGGCTCCCTGCTCAGCAGGGAGTCTGCTTCTCCCTCTGACCCTCTTCCCTCTCGTGCTATCTCTCATTCTCTCTCTCTCTCAAAATAAATAAATAAAATCTTTAAAAAAAAAAAAAGTAAGGTAACTTGCCTAGAGAGAGAACAACAGCCAGTACGAGGTAAAGTCAGACTTCCAAAAAATTTCTCAGCTCTACCCTGTACTCTCTGTCTCTGCCAACACTGCCCTGGTTCAGACCTTCATTGACTTTCACCTGAACGATTGCCTTATCCTCCCTCTGGCTTCCCTTTCTCTGATCAACCCTCTTAAATCTATAAACCTAAAAATCTTGTAAATCTTAAACTTGTATCCCTGCCGGAGTGGTCTGCTCAAAACGCAAATCTCACTTCTACTTTTGTAATTTTGAATTGACTTTTTGAAAGTTGAATCTATTAGCTTTTGCAATTTAAAAAGTGTGTGTGGTTTTTTTTAGATTTTATTTATTTATTTGAGAGAATTTGAAAGTAGAGAGAGCACAAGCAGGGAGGAGGGGAGGAGCAGAGGGAGAGGGAGAAGCAGGCTCCCCACTGAGCAGGGTGCCCGACATGGGGCTCCATCCCAGAACCCTAAGATCATGACCTGAGCTGAAGGCAAATGCCCAACCGACTAAGCCACCCAGGTGCCCCTAAAAAGTGTTTTTATTTTTTTATTATTTATGTACTTACTTTTTAAAAGATTTTATTATTTATTTGTCAGAGAGAGGGAGAGACGATGCGCGTGTGCGCCACAGCAGGGGGAGTGGCAGGCAGAGGGAGAAGCAGGCTCCCTGCTGAGCAAGGAGCCTGATGTGGGACTCCATCCCAGCACCCTGGGATCATACCTGAGCCAGAGGCAGACGCTTAACGACTGAGCCACCCAGGTGTCCCTAAAAAGTGTTTTTGTTGTTGTTGTTGTTTTTTAAAGGTGTTATTTATTTATTTGACAGAGAGAGACACAGCGAGAGAAGGAACACAAGCAGGGGGAGTGGGAGAGGGAGAAGCAGGCTTCTCGCTGAGCAGGGAGCCTGATGCGGGGCTCGATCCCAGGACGCTGGGATCATGACCTGAGCCCAAGGCAGATGCCCAACGACTGAGCCACCCAGGTTCCCCTAAAAAGTGTTTTTAAATAAGAGTATAAATGTTAAAAATCTCCCCTGTTCCTCACTGTGGGATTGTGTAAGTTTCTTGGTCTGGCATTCAAGACTTTTCAAGACCTGCCTTCCTTTCCAGTCTCATTTTTTGCAATCCATCTTCTCCCATTTTACAATCTTTCTAAAAGAATTTCTTTCTTTCTTTTTTTCTTTCTTTCTTTCTTTCTTTCTTTCTTTCTTTCTTTCTTTCTTTCTTTCTTTCTTTAATGAAAAAGGAGGAAAAAGGGGAAAAAAGGAAGGAAGAAAGAATGAATGATCAACTACCTGTAGTACTTCTGAGATAGACCATAGTCTCTCATACTTGCATGCAGTGCCCTTGCAGTTGAGCCTCCTGCCTGGAGAACTCTCACCATCCTTGTAGCTGATCTTCAAGGCCTAGCTTAAGGACCTCCTACTCCAGGCTGGACTAAGTGCTTCTCTGAGCTCCTATTACGTGCCTGTAATTACTACCTACCACATTATATTGAAAATTATCTGTATCTCTTAGACTAAATTAAAAGTTCTCTGAAGGCAGAAATCATGTCTTGTTTGTTCTTAAACCCCAGTGTTTATCTTGTGTAGCATCTGGCACCCAATAGAAGCTCAGTAAATGTTTGTTGAATGATTCATGCCTATAATCTCTCCACCATTGCCTTCTGTTGGTACATAGAGAATACAGGGAAGGAAGTAATACTTTTATGGGGAGTCAGTGCATGGTATGGGAGTATAGGGAGAGTTAGGGAATGCTTCATAGAGGAGGTTAGATTTGAACCAGGCCTTGAAAGATGACTAGAATTTCATTTCGCAGACAGTGGGGCAGGAATAGGCTCATATGTGCTTTGCATTCATGACCTTGGCCTCATGGCCTCATGTACTACAGCCAGAAGTGCCTGGTCTAGTAGACAAAATCTGATTATGGAATGGATAAAGCACAAAACTAAAAATTCCACAGTCTTGGATTGCCCCATAATAGCATATCCAGAATTTTTATTTTCCCTCAGTGCAGAGAGATTGGCATTTCACATATTAGGTTGCCATATCTTAGGAAATACAGGCACAGCCAGCCAGCCTGCACTTTTGAATCAGTATCCCGACCACCCAGTAGAATGGAACCCTCACTTGGGTAATTAAGAAATCATGCTATGATATTGGGTTTTCTGAGTGTAGTGGGGCCATGCCACTGGGGGCCTCCAAGACTCTCACTTAGACTTCAAGCAAGAGCAGCGTCACATTTGTAAAATACAGCTTTACCTGTTCACTTCTGCGTAAGATTTCATTTGGACAGTTCTGCTAAGGGGAAAAAAAAATTGAAGACTGCTTTTGGACTCTCTTGCAAAATGTGGTTGATAACTATTATGAATGTCCTGATGTGATAGTGGGTCTGTCTTGGTAATCTGAATGAATGAAATTTAACTCTGAACAAGGTACTTTGGTTTTCTCCTATATAAGGATCACACTTCTGTTTTCAGAGATTGGAGTAATATTTAGTACTTGAAGAATAGGAACTATCATATTACTGACAGGAATTAGATCTTAAATTTCCTTTAAGTGTAAAACAGCATATTTAGATACTCACAGTCTTGAAAGTCATCTGATGTGGTTGAGCAATATAAGGAAGAATTTTGTTGTAACAACCTAACATTTTTAACTCATTTAAACCTATGACAGTTTGGTAAGGTTGATACAGTTACCCCCATTTTACAGATGAGGAAATTGAGGCTGAGACATTGTGACTTGCTGAAGAGTATACAGGTATAAATAGAAAGAACTGAGATTAACTCCAGATTTTTCTGATTGAAATCCGCTGCTTCTTCCATGTATCATCTTATAGTTCTAAGTAGACCCAGGGCCTGATGTGATGATGTGACGATGGGGAAACCTTACCACCACCTCAGTCCCTCTTCAGATAGCATTCTCAGTATTTGCATGTTTATATGTTGGGGGTAAGATTTTGTCTTGAAAATCACTGTGTCCCATTCAGCCACTACTTGCACTGCCACTACTCCCTTCACCGAGGAGCAGGAAATCCTGGGTATTCTCTTGGTGCCTTAAAGGTGGGTTGATTCAGGTTTTTCTTTTCCTCCAGAATAGCTAGTCGGTTAACAGATTTATTTATTTGTTTGTTTTTTTGTTTGTTTGTAATCCCTACACCCAATGTGGGCTCAACTTCACGACCCCAAGATCAAAAGTCACATGCTCTACCAACTGAACCAGCCAGGTGCCCTGGTTAACATATTTTTGAGCCTGGTTTATTTTTCACATGTAATGTTGCATGTTTATCTGCTTTAGCTTTCCAATCACAGTTTTCCATTACCTGGGTGAACATGATGCAGTATGGTTTTTGTTTTTTTGTTAAAGATTTTATTTATTTATTTGACAGAGAGAGACAGGTGAGAGAGGAAACACAAGTAGGGGGAGTGGTAGAGGGAGAAGCAGGCTCCCGGCTGAGCAGGGAGCCCGATGCGGGGCTCGATCCCAGGACTCCGGGATCGCAGACACTTAAGGACTGAGCCACCCAGGCGTCCCTGCAGTATGGTTTTTACAGGAACTTAGCTGAGTTATGGACAGAGATCAGATAGGATCCTCAGCCTGTGGAACAGAAATGCAGCTTTGTTAGCCAGTTTGTGTTCTTTGAACCCAAGAGCTTCCCATGGTTGTTTAAATCACAAGATTGTTCAGTATGCAAAGACTTGTTCCTTCCTGATTAGAAACTCCTTAATGACTAAGTTTACCAGCAATTCAGAATACGCTGTTGATTGGTCTTGTCCTTACTCTCCAGGTTACACTGGGAAGGTGAGCAGCAGTTCGCTGTGAAGGTGCAGTTTTGGCCTTTTGACTAAATATTTTTCCCCTCAAGTGTGGACTAAGCACAAACATAGTTTAGAAGCTAAAAATCAGAGCCTACTTAAAATAGTTCTCAGTAGTTTTTTTGGTTGGGCACTGTCACTTATGCCTACCTTCACCTTGCACATAAGAAACTCAGATGGTATATTTATTCATGTGTGCCGCTTTTCATTCCTAGCAAGAATATGCTTTGTGGCTTGGAATGACAATATGGAGGTAGTGTCAGATTGCTGGTAGGTTTTTTTGGCTGCAAATTCTCCTTGCATACCAGGGTTGAAAGTACGGAACTCTTTTCTTTTTCTAAAAAATAAGATACTGTGGAAAGAGAACACTGGTATGTTGGTTTTCAGGGAGGACTTGAAAATTTCAGCTTTTCACTTGTTCCCTGAGATGTAGATTTGAAGGATTATAACCTAAAGCAAAGACTTCCGAGGTTGTAGGTTATAGAACATAAGATAACTTTTCACCCCTTAGAAGTTATACGTCTCTGCTATGAGTTGTTGATAAGTTCAGGGCCCCTCGATACCACAACTCATCATGGTTGTTGAATGTACTTTGGAGGTTCCATTGAGGATGTAATTTCTTATTTTTCATGTTAATTGTAGACACAAGGTCCTTGTAACTCCCAGTCTGTTTTCCGGAACCATTTTACAAGGTGCTTTTACAGAGCAGCAAGGGGCTAAGGGCTACAGGCAAACGTGTAGACACATTGTCTACTCTTCCAGGATTAATTTTTTGTATTGTACCTTTTGATGTTACTCAGCCTGCATTGAGTTCATGATTATTCAGTTTGCCAAGAAGACTATGAGAAAACAAATGCAGACTGCTCAGGCTATGGGGGGTGCGTTTCTATCTCCAAGAGCAAGCATCTGCATGTAACCCAAACCATCTTAGGGGGTGGGTGGGTGTGTGTGTTGGGGAGGGGAGAATAAGATCTTTAGTAGCAAGTTTTTCTAACCATTTAGTCATTTTTATGCTCTAGTCACTTGGTTTCTTTGTTCTTTCAGGTAAATATGCAGAGGACATTGTTGGAGAGCTCTTTACTCAGGCAAATACCTTTGCCTCTCGGGTAAGCTCCCTTGCTGAGAGGGTCGACCGCCTACAAGTTAAAGTCACTCAGCTGGATCCCAAGGAAGAAGAAGGTAAGGAAGCTGAGCTCAGCATTTGTAGGCTTTGCTGAGCAGTTTCTTAGGATTTTTTTCTCCTGATTTATAAAAAAGTGAGGGGAAAAAATCACAGAGACCTGTGGAGTTCTGCTTTGAAATGACACAAGCCTGGGTGGTGTAAAGAAACCTTTTTAGCTCTACCACACCCCCACACGCTCCCTTTCTCCCATTCCCCCAATTCTTGCTCAAATCCCCCCTCCCCCAATCGTATTTTGTTACCATAAAAGTACTTGGAAGATTCATTCCTCCTAAGGAGAGGCCTGCTAGATCTGGCCACATAGTAAACCTTTGTGTTGCCTCATTTTGTTCGGTCGTGAAATGGCTGGGCTGCTGACAGCCTTGTGGGGCTTCCCCAGAGGGGGAGAAAAAAAAAGCCTGGCTGCAGACAGGCGCAGCCAAGAAACGCAGCAGCTGAGGCCTCTCAGACTGGTGTGACTCAGTGTTTGCTCAGATAGCCTGTCGTCCATTTTCTCCTGCCTTCCATCTTCTCTCAGTGTCACTGCAAGGAATCAACACCCGGAAGGCCTTCAGAAGCTCTACTATTCAAGACCAGAAGCTTTTTGACAGAAACTCTCTCCCAGTACCTGTCTTGGAAACATATAACACCTGTGATACTCCTCCACCTCTCAACAATCTTACCCCTTACAGGTAACCTGGCTAGTTCCTCACTTTGTTGACCTGTGGTTAACAGCACTAGACGGTCTTTTTATTTAAAGATGTTTACATCAGAGGATTGTATACAAAAGCTTACTACCTACCCGAGTTGTTTGTGGCAGCAACAGCTAACGTTTACCATATAAACACTTGTCACTTATTGTTTGGTTTCTGAAATTCATAGTAAATATGATATATACTGGAACTTTGCTATAGCACTGCATGCTGCAGAGTTTAATTTGGTGTAAGCCAGGTCCATCCTGGATTCCATCCAAGGAATTTAGTTATTATAGAACCAAAAGGACTTTGTTACAGAGCAGTCCTAAAGCATGCATCCCAGGGGCAACATTCTAGCAAGGCTCCCACTTACTCGGAAACCACTAGATTACCAGATGTTTGGGTGTGTTAGTGGGGCTAGCTTTGTGGACTGGCTGCTCTGGGCCCTCAGGGTCCTTCCAAAGCTTAAGGAATAATTGGCATTCTTCCAAATGAGTGTTCACTTTGTTTAGAACATCCTTTTGACATTCCCCTCTGCAAGGACCTACACTGCTGCTGCTAAACTTGAGAAAGAAGGTAGCGTTATAGACAACTTAAGCCCCTCCCCCCTCCAGTGGTCTGTAGTGTGATCATCCTGCAAAAAAACCACTGAACAGGGGCAGAAAGTGAATATTTATCTTGCTTGTATCCATAAATATCTTTGGAGCAGGTAAAAAGTAATTACAGATAGCTGGAGGCAGATGTCTTCTGCAAGACATGGGTGTACTGCAAAGTAAAATGTGTGTGTGTGAAACTCAAGGACACCCACCTGATCCAGGGAGCTGGGAAATAGGAGCATGGTAGCTATTCACACAGATAAAAGTACATAGCATCTATCCCATAGCGTCTGTCCTTTGTTATTACTGTGTAAAATTATGTTTGTACCTTCGCTTTCAAAGGGACTAGCTAGCAGAGCAGGACAGAGATTTGACTCTGTAGCTTCCATCATTTATCGAGCTAGATTTGGGCAGAGAGGTTTCAGGGCACGAAGGGAGTGTACACCTGATACTGAAAGGAGTGTGACGTATGACATAGGGCTTGTGTAATAGGATAGGGTAAACAAATGATATTAAGACAAGTTTATTTTTCAGTTAATGGTATTTTCCTTTTTATTCTTCTTCTCTCAGTTATCTGGATTTGGCCTAACAGAAATGAGCAGTAGTGTAGCTAACTCAGAACAAGATTTAATATAAAAATCATTAGTGTTTGATTTGGAAATGCTTTCTGTGTGTCGTGACAGACCAGGGAATAGAATTGCCTTTCTAATTCTTTTTAGTTTAGAACAGTGCTAAAATAAATGTCCACCCCGAGCACATGCTTTCTAGAAAGAGAGAGGGACTTAGTCATGCCAAAGTGCAGGATTCCATCCAGTCATCAAATCTGGCGGGTAACCCTTACATGGATACTCAGTAGCGCTCTCGGTACTTCTGTCACAGCCACTAAAAGATGATAATTAAATCTCGTCATTAAACAGCTGTCCATCTGTTCTCACTGGGGCCCCCTTGTGGTTGGGGGGTGGGGTGGGGATGCGGAGCTAGTCTAGAAGGGAGCAAGAAGGTGGATTGCTATGGTTACCTGTTTTTACAGAGGAATAACGGCTGCACACATATATGCTTTCACGTGTATATATCTATACATAATGTACACATGTGCGCCTCCACATTGATGTACAGGTTTCAGGTGGGTGGGAAGCCACTAATGCTTCCTAGAGAGTCCTGGGGAATTGGTGGGAGAAGAGGAACCAATGGCAGGAATCCCCTCTGATGTGCCAGGATATCAGGACATCCTCAGGGAGATGTCTGTAGCCATGCAGATCATTAGAAATAATCAGGATCCCTGCTGCTCTAGCCTATTCTTGCCCTGACCATGCAAATTCCTCTACCAGGAATTGAAAGTAAGGCTAAGTTTCTTAAAAAGCCAGATAAGTAAAGAGGTGCCATTCAGGGGGCATTGGAATGCTGGTAGGGAAGAGGAAATATGCAGTCAATTTGAATGACTTCTTGATTCCTCAGTGTAAAAACTGCTAACTGGTAGGTATTTGGAATATTGGATTTGGTTGGGAGCTCATCTGTCTACTGACAGCTACTTGTCTTCATTTCTATCCCAGGGACGATGGGAAAGAGGCACTCAAATTCTACACAGACCCTTCGTACTTCTTTGATCTTTGGAAGGAGAAGATGCTGCAGGACACCAAGGATATCATGAAAGAGAAGAGAAAGCATAGGGTGAGGGGAAAGGGGCCTCTGTTCTACACATCAGTAGGCACGATTGTGGAGGGGGGATAAAAAGGAAGCCGGTCTTATATGAAGTAATCATTCCGAGTGGCTGCTTGCTTGGATGCCAGGTGAAACTCTTTAAAAAATGTGTCCACTCCAAGCACAAGCAAGATGAAAGTATAAATCACACCAAAAATGTGTTTGTTCCCCCTAGCGCTATTAACAATTGAGTATATTCAGGCTGAGTTTTAGAAATTGACTTTTCTATTCACCATTTATTTCTCTTGCAATTTGCACCTGACTCTGCTGGACACTCAAGCTAGGCTAGTCCCTTCCCGCCAGTTTTGCAGCTCATTTCTCACAGAGCAGCACAGGGCTCTACAGTGTTTGATTTACAAACAGGAACAGTTTAACACCTTCACTACTGATTGGGTGAGGTGGGATGAGGGCATAGGCCTAGTTTTGGGAGCCACTCCTCTCCCCTTAGACCTCCAGTGATGTGTGTAAGCATATGACCTACCAGTTGCAACCTCACAATCCCATTAGCATGGCTGCCGGGAGGCCCAAGAGAGCACCAGGGGCGAGTGCAGCTGCACAGGCTGAGAAACTCCTCATTGGTAGTTTGATTTTGTTTTGTTAACTATTTCCTTATACTTGTCCCAGAGACAGTGACTGACCTTCATGGCAGAGCGAGTGACAAATAGCTTTTTACTAACTTCCTAACAATTAGAGCTGCTCAGAAACATGAATGAGTCACCCAAAGAGATAGTGAGTTTCCCATCTGTAGAGGTGTCTGAGGGTTGGATTGAGTGAATGTGTTTCACCTTGGGAGGTGGTTTGGACTAGATGACCTCTAGGTCATTCCAAAACCAGTAATTCTATAAATTCTCTAGTTACTGTATGCTGCCTAGGCAAATCATCTCTTGGGTGTGCATCCTTGAAGGTGGATGGAATTTTAATGAAGGACTTCGGAATCATGTTTTACAAAGGCTTTTCTGTTTCTTTTCATTATAGAAAGAAAAGAAAGATAATCCAAATCGAGGGAATGTAAATCCACGTAAAATCAAGACACGGAAGGAAGAATGGGAGAAGATGAAGATGGGACAAGAATTTGTGGAATCCAAAGAAAAGCTGGGGCCTTCTGGGTAGGTGATGCCTTCGTTTTATTGGTAGCATTCTTCGAAGGGCCTGGGGCCCTGGGGGCAACAGTCTGACAGCTCTGGTGTGACACCTTTCACACCCCGCTGAAGTCTGCCTGTGTGGCTAAGATCAATACCACTATGAATCAGCTACCTGAATGTGCATCCATCTGGTGATTAGAATTTGCTAAATAAATCAAGAGACTCGGCAGTTTGAATGAGGTGACTGTAGTAGTCTAGAAAAGAAAGCCCATGGCTTCGGATGCCCTTGCTCTGCCAGACACTCATATGTCTGTGGGCCTCAAAGGAAAGACTGGAAAGAGAAGAAAAGTGGTCTTGGGAGCTCTTTGCCTCCAGAGCGTTGATTTGAAGGTCGTGCCTAAGAGCTGGGCATTTCACAGGAGTGGAGAGGGCCAGGCAGAGAATTTGTGCACATCACCAAAGCAACTTTTCAGTCAGCCTTTGTCCGTCTCGGGAGAGAGGCTGGCCAAGGGACTGAAAGCAGACCTCAGAGACAGTGTGGGAAAGGTCGCTCGGCCACTACTGAGGCTATATATCTCCATGGGGAAACAGTAGATGTCAGGCTGACCCATTTCCCAATACCAAATCACACTGGAGGTTTAAAAGGAAAAAAAAAATTGGTTTTGAGCTTGGTTTGATGCTTATCCTGGTGTCCGACCTGTGTGACATTCAAAGCCAAGTCACCACGACTGCTTGGCATGAGTGTTGCCCTGGTTTTTTTCTCTAAATACATTGCATCCTGGCTGTCAGAGAACCATGCCAGCCCATGCCGGGTGTCTAGGAATGATAAAAGGAAAAAGTTGAGTTGTTCTTGCTTTTAGGAGTAACTCTACCATGAAAATCTTGACTTTTAAAAATCTTGACACTTCTGACACTTGTTCTTCCTGGATTAAGAGATTTGTTTTAAAGAGTGATGAAGATGGTGAGAGAAAAAAATGAACCTTTCTCTCTACAGGGAAATCAGCCCTGAGGGTACCTTCTTTACCTTCACCTCACAGTAAAAGGGACCATTTGGTCCATGGCCCCATCCTGTTCAGACAGGCCTTGTCCTAGGTTCTATGACTGTGAGGCCAGAATCTTGCATGTTCAGAATGCCAGATGTTATGTGTTTGGTTTCTGTTGTGTGTGTGTGTGGAATGGGGCTGGTGAAAATGAGGACTTTGCCTCCCATTTTCCTGTTGTCCAAGAAGTTTGGGATTGGGCTACATGGCTGGTCTGCCTGGGTATGCTTGTTGGTGAACCTATAAAGAGATGTACTAAGCCTACAGGGCTCCAGGCCTTGGGGATTTTCTGTATCAGAGTATCATTTGATTCGTTAGTTCCCTTCCAGCTCTCTTCTCTCCGGGGTCTGTCTGAGATGAGTTCTTTAGAACCCAGAGTGGTGGAGAGAAGGGGGAGATGGAGCAGAACCAACCATATTTTGCTAGCTGCAGTTTGGTGTATTTGTGTCATTTGGAGGTTTGTTGTTCACCCAAGGCCCAGTGGTCTGAGGGGCAGGTTTTCATGAGGCACAGGCCCTAGCACCCTCCTTAAGTTGGCAGCTCATCGTGTTGGCTAAGAGAGCTGGCAGGGAGACCGAGTCTAGCTACCACACAGCAACTTGTATTTGTCCTCAGCTTGGTTTTGCAATCAAATGCCTCCTTGGCCTTTGAGTACTCCAGAGGCTTGCTGACCTCCAAACCAGGCTGTGTGCCAGTCACGTGTTTGCAGCTCACTAGCCTTGGGGCTTGGCTTTGCCCTTTGCCACAAGACAGACTTTGGGATTTGGGTATAGGCTGCTCTTAACATTTGGGAGAGAATTTAAAAGAACTGCTGGGTTTGACAAGTCCAACCAGCCCTGGGAAAGGAACAGCGTGGTTTAGATTATCTGTGTTGAATCCCATTCCTCTGAATCCAGCAGGAATATCTGGGAGATATTTAACAATAGAATTTAGTCCTAAATTTTAATCCTGAATTTAGTCCTAAAATAAAATTTCAGAATGGCAGAAAATATGTGGGGAATATTCTTACTTCTTTCTTCCTAAAAGCTTTTGTATCAAATGCATTTTTGTAGTGTCTCTTAAAAACAAAAACAAAAACATGAGAGTACCACTCACACTTTTTAAATGACAGTTTTGGCATTGGGTTCATTTTCAGATATCCACCCACCTTGGTGTACCAGAACGGCAGTATTGGCTCTGTTGAAAATGTGGACAGAAACAGCTACCCACCGCCCCCCCTGTCAGACTCCACTTCTCCACCTTCTCCTTCCTTCTCTGAGGATAGCTTGCCTCCCCCACCAGCAGAATTCAGGTAAATGGTACTCTTTCTCCTGTCACTCTGGGTGGTTACATACTCAAGAACCAAATAAGTGTTCTTCAGGGCGCCTGGCTGGCTCAGTCAGTGGAGCGTGCGACTCTTGATCTCAAGGTTGTGAGTTCGAGCTCCGTGTTGGGTATAGAGATTATCTAAAAAAATAAAATCTTAAGGAAAAAAAATAGAACAAAATAAGTGTTCCAAATTCAGGGCAGGACCAGTAAAATAACTTGAGGCAAGTCTGTCTAGAGAATAGAAATAATTAACATTTTATTGAAGTGTCTGTTAAGTTGCCAGACATTATGCCAAACACTGTATATGTTGCTTCATCCTCACAACAGCCCTCCTGAGGTAGGTACCCATTTTACAGATGAGTAAATGGTGAGGCACAAAGAGGTCAGTGAATTTACCTAAGGCCACACAGCCAGTCAGAGGCAGAGCCCTGATTGGAAAGCAGGTCATTCTGTCTTCAGTGCCCGTATTCTTAACTAGTGGCTATACTGGAACAGCTAGAGATCACCAACTTATCTCTTGTTGTTTTTACTTAGCTTTAACTCAGCATGAAATGAAGTGGTGTAATCTGCTGTCCTTAAATATTTAACAGACACCTTGCCCAGTTAATCTAGGAACCTAGCAGTCATTCACCTTTCTACCCTGTTCTGGTTCATTTCACTGCTGGAAAGAATGGAACAAAGGAAAAAGGGAGGTGAAACTTAGACTCTGTCCGTACTGATATGTGGCAGAGGTGTACAGGGGAAGAGTTAGAAAGTAATGGCTGAAAGGGGGTCTGTCTGAGGAATGTTCAGATTCAGTGTTTGCTCACAGTTACTTTTCCCTTTCTGATGCCTGACAAACGAGAGCTTTGAAAGGTACACTTTTCTTCTTGGATACCGTTTCATCAGAGATTGGATATGGTGAGGACCCCTCAGATGGACACCTAAAGTGGTGTTGTAACCCCTCCCCCTAACCCAGCCCCGTTCTTCTTGGCTCTTGAAACCACTCATCCCAGATCACTTCCTGCTGGTTGCCCTGTCAGATGCAGCTCAGGCTTGAAGGTCGGTGGAAAATTCCAGGATGGACGCTTTTTTCTAAGGAGTAACTATTAGTGGAGGGCAGGTACAAAGGTGGAAAAAGAAATCCTTCAGCCTCACACATGGCCTGAGACCCTGCAGCCACAGCCAAGCATACCTGACCCAGGAGAGGCACGCCTGAGTCGTGTCTCAACCCGGGTGAAGTCTGGTGGCACATTCATTTCCCATCTCTGCTGACCCTCAGATCCTCATCCCTTCTCAGGATTTTCCACATGAACGCTGGAGGTGCATTTACCTAGATCTGTGCCCTGCTTAGGTTTGGTCAGCTTGGCTTGGGTTTCCTGCCCTCATAAGATCTGGTGAATGATAATAGTCTGAGGAATAGAGCCCAGTGGGTGGGTGATGTTTGGATTTTTATTCCAGTTCTTCTTGCATGCCTTCTTGGTCCTGGTTCCAGAATTAAACTGACTGTCCCTCCTAGGAGAGTTCAGGAGGGTGCCTTCCCATGGAAAGCTGGAAGGTTTGAGGGGGACCTAGGAGATGACCTTGGCCAACCCTTACCTGATAGAGGAATCCCAGTCTAAACTCCTTTCAATAGCTTTTCTCAATTTCTGCTTACATTCCTCTGCTGATGAGAAGCTTACTGCATTATGAGGCTGCCCATTGCATTGTTGGTCTGTTCTGACCATTCTCAGGTTTTTTCTGTTTGAGCTAAAATGAAATGATAGTAGTCAACCAAAATGAACCTAAGCTCGTAGATAAGCTTTATTAGAGGTGTATGTTTGCATGCGGAGCGTGATGGTGGGTCTCTTCTTTGTCCTTTTAGCTGCCCAGCAGACAGCAACCAAAGAGGGCCTGGCTTAGCTGGACCCAAAAGATCCAGCGTGGTCAGTCCAAGTCATCCACCACCAGCTCCTCCTCTGGGCTCTCCACCAGGCTCCAAACCCGGGTTTGCCCCACCACCTGCCCCGCCACCTCCGCCTCCAATGATGGGCATTCCACCCCCACCACCGCCTGGAGGATTTGGGTCTCCAGGGACCCCACCACCTCCTTCACCCCCATCTTTCCCACCTCACCCCGATTTTGCTGCCCCTCCACCTCCTCCGCCACCACCCGCAGCTGACTACCCAACTCTGCCACCACCTCCCTTGTCCCAATCAGGAGGAGGCGGCGCACCTCCCCCTCCCCCTCCTCCCCCTCCTCCGGGGCCCCCTCCTCTCCCTTTCAGTGGTGCAGAAAGCCTGTCTGTTGCACCACCACTTTCTGATGCCACCAAGCCTAAGTCCTCCTTGCCTCCTGTGAGCGATGCCCGCAGCGACTTACTTTCAGCCATACGTCAAGGTAATTCCCAGTGCTGGCCTTGTCTTTCTGCAGCCGGGATGACTGGTTGGAGGGCGGGCTAAGGGGTTCTGTGCCCTTCCCAGGGCATAGATTCCCCCACTGGGTGGGGAGAGACTGGGAGGGACCTCAGGCCTCAGATCAGCCTAAAGAAAGGCTTCGCTCTAAAAATAGGGAGTTGTAGATTTCTTTCCACCTTAGTGTAAAGTAAAGGATTCTTGGGGCCTTGGATGGCTGTCAGAAGAGCAGGCGACTCTTGATCGTGGGGTCGTGAGTTCGAGCCCCACCTTGGGTGTGGAGATTACTTTAAGTAAGTAAGTAAAGGAAAGTAAGGGATTCTTAACTTGGGTCTTTGAACTCCTTGACAAGAAATGTTTTGCCTGGGTTTGCATTCATTTTGTGCCCCAGAGAACACCAAGCCTCACTACCCTAGAAGGTACTTCTCTGGCCACACTCAGTCATGTCCTGTCCTCCACTTCTGTGCCTTTCATGTGCCTCCTCCCTTTTCTCTTTCCCCTTTCTCACCCCAGCCTCCGCCCCTTCTTCTCCTGTTCCCCTTCCCTCCCTTCTTTCCCACCTTCCTGCCTCCCTCATCACCTCACCCTTGGGGGGCATCTATTCTCCTTCTGTCACAGGTCAGGTCTGGTCCCAGTGGGTTAGAGTGGTTTCTTCTGTGAGCCTTCTGGAACTAAAGGATTGTCTGGGGGACATGAGTCGGGGCAGCTGAGCTTGGTGATAATCAATGAACTGGGCAGACAAGTGCCCGGTGGGTCCGATCGGTGACCCCTCCCCACCTAGCGCCCCGGTGAGAAGTACCGTCCTCAGCAGCCTGATACATGGAAAAGGGAAGAACGGCAGGCTTCCTCTCCAACACGCCTACCGCCCCGGGGCCAGAACTGGATAAAGCCTCACCTTTCCTTCTTTCCTGGCTTCCCCCCTTCCCTCTTCGCCTTCTCAGGGCATCCTTCTTCCCCCCGCCGCCTCTCCCTGACTCCGTCCACCCCTCCTTCCTCGGTCCTGTGTGGATCCGGAGACCTTTTGAGATTGACTCGCCTTCTAAACCCTTCTCTCTCTCTCCCTCTCTCTCTCTCATCAGGCTTTCAGCTGCGCAGGGTTGAGGAGCAGCAGGAACAAGAGAAGCGTGACGTTGTGGGCAACGACGTAGCCACCATCTTGTCCCGTCGGATTGCCGTGGAGTATAGCGACTCGGAGGATGACTCCTCTGAGTTTGATGAGGACGACTGGTCGGATTAACTCTTTCCCTGCTGCCCACCTCCCTTTTCTTTCCTCCTGCTGCCTTCTTTGATGCATATCTGAACAGTCTAATGGGGGGGAAAGGGAGGAAAAAAGAATTTCAAGGGGCCAAAGTCTTCCCTGAAGCAACCAAAGATATATCCAAGTGCTTCCTCCAAATCAACATATATTTTCCCATCTCCCCATGGACAGGCCCCGTGGGGCTCCTGAGATTCAGTAGCTGAGATGTTCCCTCTTCCCTTCAAGTGACTGTTGCATATTGAAGAGAAGGAAAAACTCCCAAGCAAATCCCTTTGATTGGGTTTAGATTGGAGTTGGTACCTTCCCCTGGGAGCCCTCTTCAGCTGTGGTCTCCTTCCAAAATCCTTACCCTTCAAATAATGCCAGCCATCTTCTGGTCCTAAAAAGCCTGCAGGGGCACGGCCAGCCCCTTTCCCATGCACTGAGAGGGCTGAGCAGGCCACATGCCCTAGCAGCCAGACTGCCACACTTTTCTGCCCTGGTCAGCAGGGGGAGCTTCCTTTTGCTAAGCCATCTCTATGGACGCCCTTTACTCTAGGAGTCATCAGGCCCTAAAGAGCGTCTCCCCCTCTGCCCAGAAATGGTGCCTTTCTGAAGGCTGAAGTTGTTGCCTCCTTCCCAAGCTCCCTCTCTAGAGCGTGGTGTTCAAGTGTCCTTTAAATGCCCCTCCCTCACTACCAGGTGCTCTCGGCACCACAGCCCAGTTCAGACCTCTAATACCCATGATCAAACTAGCCCCGACATGCAGGGATCTGGACCTCTGCCGACTGTCAGGAGCCAAGCTTAGAGACTCGGAACTGCAGAACTGGAAGAATGGTGGAACTCCTTGGATCTTAGGCTCCTAATGATGCTGAAATCTAGAAATGGGAAATGACTTGCTCCGGGTCACACATTGGATGGTGACAACTCTAGAGCCCAGAATTCCTGATTCTAAGTCACCTGTGCCTTCTGGGACCAAATAGTGGGCACTTGCTGGAGACGAGGCAGAACAGTCTTGGCTCTGTGCTACTCCAGACCTCTCCATAGGTGGGAGTCCCAGTAGGAGGGCTCAGAGCCAGTGCCAGGCCTGTCTGTGCTGCTCAGACCCTTATAGCCTGTCTCTCCTCCCCCTTTACTATCACCATTGAACCACATGGCCTTGGGAGCTGCCTTTCTGGGGGACCAGAGGTAGTGAGAGAAGGAAGGGGGTATGCAGCTTTGACAGGTGCTGTTTTCAATTCCTCTGCAACTCATCCCCCTTTTATTTCCCCAGTTTAAGCATAGATTCTGCCAACTGTAGAAACTTCAGTCCCTCAGGCTGGTGGCTGCCGCAGGTAGCTGCCTAGGGGGGCCTGGCAGCCGTGAGGAGGACTGAAAGGGAGAGGGGCTCTGGGTTTGTTTCCAGCTCCCTCCTCACTGCGTGCAGTGATGTTCCCTCCCTCACTCCCCCTGCTCCCAGAGCTAATACACAGGTGCTATTATTCAGAAAAAAACTGGTCAGCTTTGGCCAACAGTGAGGTTTCTTCTCTTCTGCCCTAACTATTGTGTAGCCTCTTATGCTGAAACCGGCTTCTCCTGGCTTCTCCGGCTTTCAGAGCCCTGAAACAAAGAGAAACAGGATCTGTCTCTACCCAGCACAGCAAATGGTTGTAATAATTGCCAAAGCCCTCATAAACCCCTCCGGCTTGAGGAGAGTGTGTAATCATGGGTACTACCGCTGTGCCCTGGCTGGATGCTCCCCCTCTGCCTTCTTTCCTTGAACTCTGGCGTTGGGACTGAGCCTCTAGGGGCCAGCAAGCCCTCCTGCTGGGGCCGCTGCAGAGTTCACCCTCTTCCCCCTCCCCAGATCAGGTGTTTGTGGCACAGGGCCAGCACCATGCTCCAGTGCTGAGCATACCAAGCGGTGTGTGCCCCCACCTTGCTTCCCGCCTTGCACTTTGGAAGCTGAAGGTGCTTTCTTCAGAACCCTAAAATGGCTGTTGAAGGTGTCCCTGGCTGCAGCCCAGCAGTGGCTGGAGAGGCAGGTGGAGGGCAGTGGTTCTCCCAGATAGAAGTCCTGGGGCCTGGCCAGGCCAGGGTTTGGGCCTAATGGTTTTGACTAAATTACCCCCATCCCCCTCCTTTCCGGAAAAGGGGGAGCAAGCACCACTCGCTATCATTCTGCTCTGACCTTGAAGGGGGCGGTGTTGGCCTGGCTTCTGGAATGGACACAGTCAGCCCTGGAAAGGGCTGGGGGCAGAAGGCGGGGGGGCACTGCCTGCGGAAGGTAGGATTAGATCATTAGCTCAGTGACCTCCTAGGGTTTCGATGTGCTGTGTTCTCATCCTACAGCTGGTTCGGTAATGATCTGCAAGTCCCGGAGAGCAACAGCACCGCTCTGCCTGGCGCCCTCATTAAAATCCATGCAGCCAAGCTCTGCGCTTTGTAGCAGCCGGCCTTGCGAAGCCGAGGAGAAGCTTCCTCGGCTCGGGGGGCTGGGGACCCAGTCAGCCCAGAGGCCCTCTGGGCTCTATGCATATGCGCACCAAAAACAAAAACAGAAAAAACAAAACCCACATAAAACAACAACAAAAATACCCCACTTCTTTAAACCCAGAACCCTTTAAGATGATAAAGGACCCTTTGCAGATAATTGTGTGTCTTTGGAATCCTGTAATTGTAGAATGCAAAGTTTAGTGATTATTTAAACTGGGCGGAGGCTGGTAAGAGTGGGGCAGTGGCTCATAAGGACTCAAGCACTGAAGCCAAGGAGCCACCTCCCTTCCCTAGTCTGCCCAGCCCAGGGGACCTGCCCCCATTCCTGTGGCCCAGGGACCCAGCTTCCAGTCGGCATGTCAAGAAGTGACTTGCGGCTTTGCCCTGCTTGTGAGGACTACATTCCAAAGGAGCAGCCGCGGGGGGGGGGGGGTGGCGCAGGCTCTGCCATCCCTTGGAGGTCAGAGCAGCTGGCCCAAGCTCCAGCTCGCCTCCAGCGGAAGCTCAAGCGCCCTCAGAAACGACCCTGGCCAATGTCACCGCAGAGCCAAGGCGGTGTTGTCAGGGCTAATGTGAAATCTCTTCCCGTGGCGCCGGTCCTCCGGCTCTGCAGCGCCAGCTTGGACAGATTGAGGTCTCTGTGGCTTTGGTGACCCTGCTTAAGCATTCCCACCGTGTCCCAGCTTTGCTCTCGCCTGCCTCCCTCCGCAGCCCCCCTCACCTGACCTCGGGGCCTGGGGAGGGGGCCAGTGCCCCAGGGCGAGGGGCTTTTGCTCAGGAGAGATGTCAGGCCTCCTGGGGGCATCGGGCTTTGAGCTCAGACCTGGGACTGGGTGTCACTAGGAGATATGCCTCATTTTGTGCCTCAGTGAGGGCTAGGGAACAATTCTGTTATTGTATTAACTTGACTCAGTTAACTCGAGAAACTAACCAATTTTTACTTTCTGTCTAGAATGGTGTACATGTAGGAGAGTCAGCCGTAATGCTCCCAAAGTGCCTTGTTTTCTCTGATATTAAATATATTTATAAGGACCTATTCCAGTGGATTCTTGGGTGTGTTTGCCACATCGATTTTAGGGAGTGGGCATCTGTGTAGTAGGGATACAGTCTGGAAGTGGGTCTTTCTCCCCTGAGGGTGGGAAAGGAGATTCCATTAGAGATCTGGGAGGGTGGGGTTAAACCAAACCCCTGAGGTGACCCCTTCCTCTTCGCCCTGCTCCTCTTAGGCCCTTAGGAGGACATCCAGTTTTTTAAAGCCCTGTGGCTCCAAGCCTGGTCTCCTTTGTTTCCCTGCTAGGCTCATGTGTGGACCACGTCAGCACCCCATGACCTGAGGATTCCATGTAACGATTTTATGTTATACATGCAAATATGTAAATGCCAACATTTTAAATAATGTGATGAATCTCTGTAGCTACTCAGCCACCTCTGGGTGTGTGTGTGTGTGTGTGTAACAAAGTGGTTGGAAGGGGACAACATCTGGGGGGGTGTGTGTGCGCGCAACAAAAGTGGTTGGAAGGGGACAACATCAATAGCCGCAGGTGGCGGCTGAGCTCTGGAGGGAGGGCTGGTGTGGGTGGGCGAGAGGAGCAGGAGGCCTCCGGGTCTGGATGGTGCACCCTGCGTGGGAGGTGGAGGTGAAGGCTGGAAACCATTTTGGTTTAGGAGGAGACCCAAGTTGGGGAACTTAGAAGCCCAGGTCCCCAGGCCCTCCTCAGCTGGCAAGGGGTGTGTGTAGGGACCAGGGGAGACACGCTGGTGGCCCCTCCATCAGGGGGAAGAGCAGCACTGGCAGAATGCTGATGTTGCCTCCCAACATCTGGCCGGCATCTTGTCTGCCTCTCAGACCCAAGCAACTTACCTTAAATAGAATGATTTTCAATGGAATCCGATAAAAAGTTCAGGCTGCTGTACACCCCCTCTCCTGCCTGGGAAGGCGAAGGGGCTGGGTTTCTATTCTGACCCAAAAAAATGACCTACCCAGGAAGCAACGGTTGTTCCGAGCACAGCTGCTGCGGGTGACTGTCCCTGGGGGTAATTTATGGGCAGGCACCCAGATCCAGTTCCGGGCCCAGCAGACGCAGTGGGGTGGCCTCGGGAGAGGGGGGCGGGGAGCAAGGTTGGTGACTCCGCTGGTCACGCCTGCTGTTCGGGGAGAGAGAGGCACCCACTGGCGTCCCAGGAGAGGGGGCAGAAGTTTTGAATTGTCAGCAACTGCTGCGCCAGGCGCGCTGAGCTCATCGCTGGAGGTGGGGGTGCAGGGGAGGGGGCGCGGGAGCCGGCTCGCCCCGCCGGAGCCCCTCGCTCCACCCTCCGGCTCAGGCCTGTGTTTAGTCAGCACTTGGCTTCCCGAGGCCGGTGACTGACAGGCAGCCAGACGCCCGCCCTGGGAGAAGACAAAATGGTGGTGTCGGGAGCCGCCCTTGCTGGGGAAGTGGAGGGGAGGAATGTGGTTCTGGGAAGCAGGCGGCCGCGGCTTAAATTCCGGCTCCTCCGCTTGGGAGCTGTGACCGCGTGCTTCACCTCTTAGGGCTAATCCTGAGAAGAATGAGCATGTGCTGAGTGCCTACTACCTGCCCAGGACTGCACGCGCTTTATTTCAGCCTTAGGAGGGAAGGGTCTCATTGTACACGTGAGAAAAACAAGTTCAGAGGTTGAGTCGCCGCAGACCGTGCAGCTGGCCAGGAGCAGAGCCACACCTCAAACCCGGGTCTCTCTCAAGCCCGAGATCGTGCTCTGTCCGCCATGCAGCTTCAACGGCTTTCAGATTCTCTCCCGTCCGGAACCGCGGGGTTCAGTGTCCGAGGGGGCGTGTTACGGTTTTCCGTTCCGCTCTACCCCACCCTCCGGCGCCCACCTTTACGGGGCACGGTTATTTGTGCCCCTGCTTTGAAATCAAGTGGGCCGGCTTGAGGGCCCTACTCTCCTGGACCCTGAGAGTTGGAAGTACCTCGCACCCTGAGCTGCCTGGGAACA